AAAAAAAAAAAGAAAAAAAAACAGATCTTTATCATTCTCCATCCTTTCAAAAGAAAACAGTACGCTCCATTTTTGGCAGCTCAAAGTCAGGAGGTGTTCTCCAGCTCTGGTTGGTGGATGTTCTTGAGGTTGCTGCTATCAGTGGTTGTTTCCTGAGCCCGACTGTGAGTTTGTGTTAACATGTTGTCATCGTTAGCAGAAGTCCCCGTCCTCAGCTCTGTACAGGTCGGCCAGCCTCTTGAACCGGGGTCCCCAGTCTCCCAGGTAATGATAGTCCTGTTCGTTCTCTGAGGAGGAGGCTGAGCCCAGCGAGCTGAGCGACCCTGCCACCGATCCTGCCCCCTCAAATACGTATGTGGCCAGAGAGTCATACGGAGGATCCACTGAGTTGTGGTCATACTCCAGAAGCTTCTGGTTGATAAAGTCGCACATGTCTCTGTTGTGTCTTGAAGCCCTGCTCTGTGGGGGCACGAGGAGTCGGGCCGCCGCAGGAGCGGCTCGCTGCTGCGGCGGGTACAGCAGCTTGTGACAGGGCACGACGTCCCGCCTCAGTTTAGCAGACTCCTCCAGGGCAGCGGCAGCATCTGGGTGCTGCAGGGCTCCTATGTCAAAGGCCCGAGTGTCCTCCTCACCGCCGCCTTCATCGTTGTAGCTCACCACGTTGTCCCGGACGTCTTCTTTGGAGATAATCAGAGGTTCCTGCTTTCTTTGGCGCTTTAATGTTATGAAGAGAATCAAAGTCACTGCAGGAACAGAGAGAAACGGGGTCAGAAAACTGAGATACAACCACACACAAAAAAACAGCCTAAATCAGTTCATTTCAGTTGTTATTTTTGGTGTCTTTTGTTGTGTTTTCTGACTGAGCAGACGTCATGTTTAAAGTAACAGAAGTGTTTTATACTGGTCCTCTGTGCTTTAAGTCATTTTAAAGGAGACCGATTGTGGGTCCTAGAAATGTTTATGGCATGTCTGTGGGCTATCCAGACCATGTTCATTCAATTTAATGCACAAAATAATTCT